TTTCTCCGTAGTATTCTCCGTATATGCCTGTTATAATTTCTTCTCTTACTTCTTCTCTTATAAAGTATTAGATTAAGTGACTAGCTGAGTAACTAACTAAGTAAATAACTGATATAATGTAAAATCTTGAAGAGCTAAGTCGTATTCTTAACGATAATAGTCTTATTGCCACTTAGTTTCTCCGTAGTATTCTCCGTAGTATTCTCTATAGTATTCTTTATATTTATCTATTATAGTTTCTTCTCTTACGATATTTCTTTTATAAAGGCCTAATTAACTATAATTATCGCGATAGATTCTTCTCTTATAACGTTATTATAGTAATATATTATATTAATATAATAAAAATAATAAATTAAGTTATAGTAGTATTCTTCGTTTATTAAGTAATAATTTAATATAGAACTATAAAGAGTATATAATGTGAGATCTTAAAGAGTTAAGCCGTATTCTTAATAATAGTAATTTTATTACCGCTTGATTTCTCTATAGTATTCTCCGCATTTACTTATTATAGTTTCTTTTCTTATTTCTTCTCTTATAGAGTATTAAATTAAATAATTAGTTAAATAGCTAACTAAGTAAATAATTAAATAATTAACTAATAATTTAATTAAGTAAATTATTAAGCTAATAGAGTAGATAGTATTAACTAAGTAGTTAGTCGAGTATCGCTAATTTAGAAGAAGTATATAGAGGAAAACGATAGTTATAAATTCGTTCGGGCTCTTTTTAAGAGCTTTCTAACGCGTTTATAAGTAGTAATAGATAGTTATTAAACTCGCTTACGGCCTCGATTACTAGTAGTAATAAATTTACTAAGAGATAATCTAAGAGCGTTAATAAGAGGTTTAAAAGATAAATAAAAGAGATATATACTTTAGATACTTAGTAATATTTAAGCGAGGAGTATTAAGAATATATTTATAATTAATAGATTAATAGAATTATAGAAGAAATATAATTATATAAATAGATGAAAGGATTATTATTTAATTTCGAATGCGTTTAATATAATTATAATATTTAAATATTAATTTAATTTATTAATAGTAGACTAAACTTTATTATTTTTATATTATTAGAAAGCGTATACTAAGCTCTATAATTTACGAAATTATAAAGAAATAGTATTCGTAGAGAGCTAGTTATTTTAGAGTATAAGATTTTTATATATAAATTTTTAATAAGGGAGCTTAAGAGGGCTAGCGGGCTGATTTAGTTAGTCTAGCTAAAAGGCGTAATAACTTCGAATTAATAATTGACTGTATATATAAATTCAAGGTTTTCTAGTTTAGCCCTATCTTATTCTTTTATATATACTAATATATATTTATTAATATACTTATTTTTTTTTTAATTCTTTTTTTTTTTTTTTTTATCTTTCTATAGAGACTTATATTATAAATAGTTTTAAAGTCTATATCGTAGTAATTTTAAAGTTTATAAATCTATAATATAGTAACTATTCTTTTTTATTTTTCTCTACTTTTCTTTATTCTTTTTTAAGAGTTTATATTATAATAATTACTTTAAAGCTTTAACGCTAGAGATAAAGCTTTAAAAGAATTAAAATTAAAATATATAATTTAAGACTTTAAAATAAGAGTAAAAAGAAGTCTTAATAAAATTTTATAGTTATTATTTAAAATATTAAGATCTTAATAAAGAAAGAGAGAATTATCTAATATCGCTATTAAAAAAGAACTCTTATTTCTAAACTTCTTAAATTCGCTAAGAATTATAAATATAATTAATATAATATAATAGTAATAAAAGATAAAATCTCGATATCTATATTAAAGTTTTAAGAATTAAAGTTTATAAAGTTTAAAATTATATTAATATATATAATAGAATAAGATAAAGCTAAGTTAAAAAATCTTAAATTTATATATATATATAGTTAATTATAAATTCGAGTTCGCTACGCTTTTATTACGAATTTAATATACTTTAGAGAATTCTTACTATTTAAATAGAGGTTTACGCTCTTTTAACGCTTTTAACGTAACGATTTACGATAAGATACGCTTTTTCGTAACAGCTTTTTAATTAGATATCGCGAGTAAATAAATTAATATTCGTAATTATTAATATCTTTTCTATTAAATTACTTTTTAATATAAATATATTATTCTCTATTAAATTTTTCTAAGTTTCTTAAAACTATAGAGCGTAATTTACGTATTTAATTTAAATTAAAAGTTATAAAATTTAATCTTATAATTATCTAAAAATAAGAAATTTAAATATTACTTATTAAAGTTTACTCGATAGCTATAACTAAAAAAAAAAAAAAAAATTTAAAAAATTTATTATTATTATTTTCTATTAAAAGCTTTTAATTTTTTTTAATAATAAAGTATAATTTAAACTTTATAATAACGTAATAATATAATAATATTAAAAATTTATCTTATAAATTTAAAAAAATCTTAGATTAAACTATTTTTACTCTTCGAGAGTTAAATTTAATTTTAAAATTAATTACTTTTTATAAATTTAACTTATAATTACTATAATATAAGAATTCGTTAAATTTTAATATAATTAAATTTTAATAATCTTAGATAAAGCGAAAAACTATTAATAAAGAGATATTAAGAATTTAAAAGAAGACTAATAAGACTTAAATTAAGTATTTAGAAAATCTTTTTTAAAGTAAAATCTAGATATATATTAAGCGTATATCTAGTTATATTATAAAGATTATTTATTTATAAAAGTAATAACGAGTCTTTTAAGAGTTATAAAAGAGAGATTATATAGAATTATATATTTAATAAGAATATATAAATAAGTATATTTATAGCTATAAAAAGAATTACTAGTAGATAATAAAGCTATCTTATTTAAGAATATCTTAGCGAAAGACTATAAGTTACGATAATCGTACCTATACTAAATTAGTAAAAATTATCGTCTTTTAATAATTACTTAGTTATATTAATATAACCGTAATACTAATTTTTTTTAAATACGTTATATATTTTTAGTAATGCTTTTCGTAGAACGATAGTAGATCGATTTCTCTAAAAAAGTATATTAATCTTTAATACGATAAATCTAGAAATCTAATATATTACGATAGTAATTATAAATTAGTAGAATAACGATATTTATATAGATATCTTAGTAATAATAGATTTACGTAAATTACCTTATATAGTCAAATAGACTCTTCTTTAGCTTAAGTAAATTTAGTCGAGTAATAAAAATTTATAGAGTAAGGTAGTCCCGTAGTTCGAATCAACGAATGTATCTCTCATTTGAAATTAATTTTGTAAATATCTTATTCTTAATATACCTTAACTATTATTGCAGGGTTCTTAATTTTTTTTTCTTCTCGAAATAGTTTTTAATTTTATAATGGTTTCTCGATTCCACAACGGTGTCGCAACGGTGTCGCAACGGTTTTAATCTATAAAACGTATTAAAAATATTACAGTTGTTTCGACTCGATACGATTTTTTATTAATACGTACTAAGATATATAACCGTTAATTATTTAATTCGTTTTTTATTCTTTATCGTTTAAAGGCGGAGGTGGCCTACTAACACGTCTTAATAAAATAATCGTATACTTACCGTATATATATAGTAAAAGAAGGCCGCTGTTACTCGCTAAGGTATTTAATATTTATCAAGAGTGCCAAGAGTGCCAAGATATTCAGCGCTGCCCAGGACTTTTGGTGCAGACCTCCGTAGTCTATAGTCTATACCCTTCTGTGACTTGTGAGTCGGTTTCATTATCAAGTTTCCTCATACCTTACTGGCTGTACCCTCAAAAGATCTTAGTCTTTGCTAACTATGGGTAAGGCTCTCCGGGGAAGTGCCTTACGTTAGAGATGTCAGAGATCTTGGCCAAAGTCTTCTATTGTTTCTGAAACCTCTGAGAACTGTCAGATACAGTAGGTATTTTATGCAAGCGCACCGAATCACTCTGGATCCAGACGGTCCCACGGTATCAGGACACTGAACCTTGTTCATCAATCCACCCACTGATTGGACCTTTTTCTTCCATCCACATTCGGGTCAAGGTATGCCGTACGTGATAGATGGTAGACACTGTACACGCTTGGATCCTCAACGCTTCCAATTCTACGGCTTTTTCGTATATTCATTTACCAAAAGGATTTCAATTTGTAGACCTTCCTATGATGCAACAACAGCCGGGGAGCTGCACCGGCGCTGATTCGCGAAGAAGATGTATGGTTGGCTTGGCTGATGCTACCTGTAATTGCTAACCTAAAAAATTCCGCCAAGGGGGTGGCACGAATCCCGCCGGACGACCATTGAGGCAAGATACTCGTGAATCGAGTGGGAACTTGAAAGGGTTCTGTCGCCCTGTTGTTACGTTTTGTTCTTGGTATGTTTTTGACTGCGAGCCTCTTGAGAGCAGGGGGGGGGGCCAAAAGTTGATTCAGATTCACCACGAATTGGACAATCGATCGGTTGCGCCCCATGGTGACATACACGAGCTCCATGATAGTCATGGGCTCTTCATTATTGCGGCATTGCAGCTTTTACTTTGGCCTTCACAGTGTCTGGGATTATAACCCTCAAAGTTGTCGAAACGTTCTGATATTAGCCCCCACGACGCAACGGCCCGACTTTATGTAGCACGTGTGGCTACCCATTTTGCGTCACTGTTGCGCGCTATCTTCAGAGTATGCTTCGAGTCAGGCACAGTCGTCGTTGAACTTTAAACCGCGGCATCTTGCAAGACATATCTACGATGTTTCCACGGGCCAGCAACTCCATGGTCCTGAAGAGGTAAATCAAAAGACTGAGAATCTTTTCTTCATCGTACCAATCTTTCCCTGCTCTCTACCATCTTCAATGGTCATTCGCCGTGGATTTCCTGCTTGACATATGGTGCCTGGTCTTTCTTGCGGCGTTTGTTCTTGCTCTGCCGACCATCTCGCCGTCCATCAGCCTCTCAACTAGCATTCCCTCTCTGAGTCCTACAGCAGTGACCTTTTTGACGACATCCAATGGGTCATCCTCAGCCAGCCATGCTCAAACAACGTATGGTGGGCCCCTTACATCTTCTCCACCTTGGATGAACTCTCCGTCTAAGGGCCCTCGGAGACCTCCATTCAAACACCATAGGCCGTACGTGCCCACTGCCCCATCTTCATCACCCGTTAGTACACAAGCATCGTTCCCTCGCTGGCTTTGGCCCACGTATAACCTTCTCGTCCATAAGTGGACATTGCCTTTCTCCTCGCGTGCTGGAGCCACATCCGGATCTCATGGTAATAATGCGTCATCGATTATTGTTGGTGCTGGTGCAGGAACGCTATCCTCATCCGGCAATTACGAATCGCCGTTTCCCACAAGCACTGGTCTGCCTGCTACTTCTGCGCAACTTCTCGGATCTGGCAATGATCTTTCTGTTATGGCAGGCCAGACCATCGTCATGATCACCCTGGCTCATGATAGGCATGGACCAGGATCGGGTTCGTTGCCCACGGGGACTGATACCATTACCATGTCGTCCCTGACTCTCTCAAGCGCCAACACCATGTCAGCACCGGCGGCTAGTAACACCGATGACTGCGGTGTTGTACAATCCTTCTATGGCCAGACGGCGGCAAGTTGGGAGGCAATTGACATGGATACATGGCTCAACGTGTGGTTTAGTACTTACTCTTCGGCGATTTCGGCCAACAGCTACGGTTTGGCAGGGTGGGTACGGTGCCGAGTAAGTCCCCTCGCATTTAGCACCGTTGACTCAGTCGCATGATATATCTGCGGAGCAACCTGTAAATTTGGCCTCTCTGTTATTGCCGTTCCATGTCTTGTGCCCAAAATTTGTCAAAGAGGGACTGCTGACTCTCAAAACGCCACTAGAGCATTTGGCAACTGGGCAGTGGGAGACCCAGACTTGAACTGTCAGGATGATAGGTCCAATTCCGATTGCGATTTTTACCCACGCAACGTAATTCCCCTTAATACCAATCCCGACGTGGCTAACGCGTACTATACAACGGAATCTCTTAACAGGTTTCACACGTATTTCACTGGTCCGAGTCAGTCAAGTTTTCGAGGTCAGCGCCATTGCTACCGCGTTGAGCAAGGATGATTGGGGGGGAACGTTCTATGTAGACAAAGACGTCAAGAGCATAACTGCACTCAGGTTGGTATTTGCCTTTCTCCAGATAATCATCGGGATCGGGGCTGCTTTGGCTGGCTTGGGACCGGCGGTCGAAGATGCTATAGCTAGTGGTGGGGTCGCACTTTTTGGTGGTGCGACCAATGCCGCTATTGCTGCAATACCTACACAGATCCTTATCTACCCAGGATGATTCACATAGGTCTCGAGGTCTTTCGGCTGCCTATGCCAACGTTTGCTAGCGAGGACAACACTTGTACGTGTATTCCTCGGAGTCCATGTTTCCTCTGCTTGACAAAATTTGAGCCTTGACAAATGTCTCGGAAGTGCTCACTCTCGAAACATGTCGCGAGACTCAAATCACCCCTCAAATAGCCAATACTGACTCTGAAATTGTCGTCCAGTCCAAAAGTTGGCGAACCTTGGAGGAATTCTTGGTGAAATTGTTGTAGGCGCCATGGAGGGTTTTACCTCGGCCAACAACGAATTGATGGAGGGCAACAACTACGACGGCACCGGCGACATTCGATCATATTCTGCGGGTGGAGCGTTTGTCGACTTTGGTGGCGTGGACAAAGACAATGTGACAAATGCAATGAACTCTTTCCTATTCGGACATTCAATGAATCAGCTCTGGCGTACACAAATGATCTTCATCAGGGCGGTGGTGCGTGTCCAAGGCATCGGTTCAGGTCCAGCACCCTACAGTGTCTGTGTAAACAACGTTGCCTGATATCTATATTGATGGTCTGTTGCCCCTGCGCAGGCAGAACTTCCTTCTGCCTGTTAAGCCTCGCTGATACAGAAAAAAAGTAAGGCAAGAAGACAACGTAATCTCCGTGACATCACATCAATGGGGGTTGGGTTGCCGCTCCACCAGGGGCTGCCAACCTTGGTTTTGGAGAATGGGCTGGCGTTACCGTGCTGGATGTCATTCTGTCTTTCTGAAGTCCGTATGAAGTAGCTGGCTACGATTACGACAACAACACAGGGTGTAACAGGGTGAGACCTGCGCTCGAAAGCCAATGGGCGAATCCTGGCGCCCAAGGTGCAAGCTGGGAAGGTACTTTCACCATCCCAGTTTGCGATGTCAGCACGGCCATAGAGGCGGACTACCAGGATAAGCAGTACATTCTGCAGCCGTACATCGGGGACAACAGCCGGCCACTATGGTGTGGACCCGTTTGCGGTGGCAATTTGACGACTACACAGGCGTTCAATGCCGCAGCGCAGATGACGAAATTTGACAGTCCGAAACAGGCATGTAGTTGGAGTCCTGGCTATTGAGGGAAAATGGTTAAGGGTTCATCTGCATGTACATATGTGCTATCGAGTCGAGCCCCAAGAGCTCCTTGGATGGGTCACCAGATGATCCTTTGCTTTTAGTCAGCACTGATACTGGTCAGGGCTGGGTATCCCAACTTCATGTACCTATTTTCCATCACTTGACCAAAAGTTATCCGACAGGGACTCTTTACAGGCGAAGATTGCCGGTCTCTCGATTACTAGCAGTCACTCCACGCACAGAAGTTGTTTCTGCAAATGAAGCATTGGTAGAAAATAGACTTTATGACAGTGCATCTACAGCACCCCCTCTCGGAGAACACGTCGGAGCACCTCTCCTTCAAACTTAACAAGTATCGTCCCTAAACATGGTAAGAAGGACTGTCTTTTGGCAGTCGTCGTTCCAGAAACAGAAAGACGTTGTTTCCTGGCTCCACATCAGGATAGAAAAGGGCAGAAGCGGCAGCAACATCATGCACGTGTCCTGAAACAGCATGTCCATATACTCCCTGAGAGTTTCTGGTTTTGGCATCTGTCCCACTCTGTGGAGAAAATGCGCGAGACTCTGCAAAGGACGTCTTTTCACTGGAACCCATGGACAGTCCGTAAAGAGTCAGCGACAGCTGCAGGTTTGAGTTACACCGAGTTAGCACCTAAACATCTATTCGCGGCATCATTCGATGAAGATCTTGCTATAGGCGACGCATGGTCGGCAGAGTAGCTCTACCTCCGTAAAGCCAGGGTTCATTGAATGTGGTATCGTACGAGGAAAGTGGAGAGAGTGAGGGTTGATATTCTTTGTGCCTGCTGAATCAACAGACTACCTCGATGAGGCAATTATTTTGGAAGCGGCTGCCGGTTGCCGGAGTCCTTGTTTATTAACTGACCCGAATCAGCAAACCAGCAGCTCAGGAAGTTTGGTAAGGTAAAGTACTTTTAGACAACCAGAAAAGGCTTAGCTTAACGGGCGGTGCTGCTGCTTTGCGCACCAACCTCGGAAGCGGTGAGTTTTGACTTTTTGAAAGGTGGCAACTACTTGTACTCTAAGCGATCGCCATTGGTTAAAATGTTAACGGAGGGAACGATCAGATGAAAGCCCAGGCTGGTCCATGAATTTTCTCCACCAGATTTCCACCGAATTCTCCACTCAGTCGTGTGGCCTGTGCGGCAAAAAAAGGATATCGGTACATGCACGAGTAATTATGCGAAACGTTTGCTGATTCGTCGGTCAATGTTTAATTATTGTCCTTCGTGCATATGCATATTGTCGCATCACATCATCACATCATCACATCGTCACATGCGAATCTGCCAAAGGCTCATCTTTTCCATCTTTCCCTTCCATGTTGGCAACGGGTAGTCTAAAGGGGCAAATCTCCGGTCACCCTCTATTCACCAGTTTCTACAGTAGGTAGGTACGTAATATCCGATACCTTCTATCTATCGAACAAGAAATCATGCCGCTTATTTTCCTTCTAGAATACACTAAAAGAATGAGGCTGCCCTAGGTAAGTTTATCACCGCCAAAACCCCTAAGGGACCCCGGGCTTTTATCGTCTTTGCAGCAAAAATCTCTTCCCAAAGCCTGGAGTTCTCTCTGGCACGCAGCGCAGGTAGCCAGTCTGGATGAGTGGAATGAATGCCTTCTCCATACGCCATAATGATGAAAACAAGCCCAATGGAAAGCTGTCGACGTGTTAGGCCTTCCTCAATCCTCTGTAACACACAAACCTACAAAGTCTTGCACCGCGCTTGTATCTCAACAAGAATTATATAACAACACCGTCCGGACTGGTCCTACGTGCAGCACTTGGCGCCGACATCATTACTCTCTTTCTCTTGGATTTTCGTCTGAGCAAAGAGTGAAGAGTGATTGATGTAGGTACACCAATCATATCATGGTTCGATATTAGAAAAGGGAAGCCGAGGCTATGTGCCGCAATCGTGCTTTTGCGGTCCTCCAGGGTTCATCGAAAGCCAGCCAGCCAGACCGATCGATCAAAACTTCAAAAGAAGGAACGAGGCTGCCAAGGGTCAACGGCTACGGCCAAACGTGGCAACGTGTTCTACGTACGTATTCTTTCCCAGACGTCGGCCAATGACAATTGGACCAATGGGACCACCCCCTATTTCTCTGCTCCGCAAATCCCTCGTCCAAAGAAAGCAAGTCGCGATAGCAAACGCACGGCTACGCAAAGATGTTCATGTGATGGCCATCGTGCAGGTGTGACTGTGAGGCATTATTCCAAAATCTCCAACGTAAGCAGGATTCCTGCGAATCAGGTCGTGCCACAAGGCGGGATGCAGCAAATCCTGCTGATCTTGAGACTTGTCCCATTGGTATGATTCGGATGGGGACGCCCTACGCGAAGGAATCATGAAGGATCTTTCCTCCGTACTCCGTGAGTCCGTGTGAGACTGTATGTCCACCAGCAAAAAGAGCCCCGCACCCGCAGTTGCTCACCAATGAAAGGCCCGAAAGGCCAAGTAATGCCTCTTCCAATCATCTCTTTGCCACCGCTCTGCCACTTGTTATTCGCCCACCAACCAATTTTCTTACCAACCACCGCCCCTAGCTTCTCATTTTGCAGGCGGCAGGCTGCAGGCAAATTTGGGAATCGGGCCACCAACAAACCAAGTCTCTCCAACTCTCCCTTAGTCTCAAGTGCCTAAGATAGTCCCTAGTCCCTATGCTCCTACCTTAGTCCTATGATTTATTTTAACAATCGGGCGGTATCTTACGAGGCTTTGGTAATTGGTTTTTCCCTTGCCTTGGCCTTTGCCTTACCTCAAACTTCCAAAAGGTGGCTAGAGAAAGAGAGGGGGGGGGAAATGAGGCTTCAGACCAACGAAAGCACACCACTGTTACGCGTAAACGATCCCTGCCTCGCCCTCCCACGCCCCAATTAGTAGTCAGTAGTTAGTACCCACAAATGCTCGTCTGCCGTCATGAAGCAACTTAGCCGCAAAGCCCCATGTATGATGTTTGTCATGCCACTCTTGCACATCTTCCTTCCTTTTCGTCTTAGTCGACAAGGATTTAGCCTCGCCCTGCCTTTTCGCTTGCACATGACACGCCCGTAGTTCGGAGTCTCTGCTAGCGTCAACGCCGGCTTCTCACCGTTCAAAGTCGAAATTGAACATTTAGCCAAGGATAGTCTAGCCAAGCATTAGCCTCCTGCTCGTTTCGCCTTGCAAAAAAACGTGTGAGGGTGAATCATCCTCCACCTCCTCCTCCTATCCAGAGCGTTAACGGAGTACGAGGCGTGGGTCATGGCTATGCATAATAGTCAAAGGGGTGCACCTTCATCTTCTCCCCAGCCTAGCCGCTACCAACCACTACGTGACTCCGACTTCACTTTCATCCATTCACTCCTTCCACCTCCTCTTAATACTGCGAGGCTCACGCCTTTACTTTCTTCCTCCTCCACCGCATCTCCAACCTCTTTCCTCCTCGATCCAGTCTTGACTACGACCTTCCGCTTCTCATTCTCCTTCTCTCCTCACGCGCTCTCGACATTCTATTCCGCAGGGCAATCAACTGACCCACTTTGAACCATAATTGCTTCTGGAGCCTCACGTCCCATTGAGAGCCGTTCGGACCATTCGAAATAGACTTGGATATTCTTCTCCCCTTGCGGACTGCCCTAAGGAATTTTTTTCTTTGCTTCTGTGCCTGGACTGGATTCTGTCTGCCATGTTGCCTACACCTCCACCGTCTCCATTGTTATCAGGACTGTGCGCGCCAGAAGATCGACTTGGCCTTGTCTTAGCCGACTGGCTGGAGCTAACAGGTATTCTGGGAGTGGGAGCATATGGCGTCGTCTACACTGCCGTTGACGTTCACACGAATGTTCCTTATGCGGTCAAGGCCTTGAACAAGATTGGTCTGGATCCACGGCAGCGGAGTTTCCAGCAACGGGAGATCCAATTACATCATGCGGCCAGCCATCATCCAAATGTGGTCTCGCTCGTCAAGATAATGGATTCCTACGACTGCACCTTTGTAGTCCTTGAATTCTGCCCCGAAGGTGATCTGTTCTCCAGCATCACGGAAAAGGGCCATTACCTCGGCAATGATTTCATGGCCAAGAGTGCATTTCTCCAGATATTGAACGCTGTTGAGTTTTGTCATTCCATTGGCATCTATCACAGGGATCTCAAACCGGAGAACATCCTGGTCTCCAACGGTACTGTCAAACTTGCGGATTTTGGCCTTGCGACTCAGCAACCTTGCACGGACGACTTCGGTTGCGGTTCTACTTTCTACATGTCACCAGGTAGGCATTCTTTGTGGCTGGAGCTGACGTTCGATTCCATTCATCGACTGACCCTTGTATCCCAGAATGTCAAGCAACGCCTGCAGGCCCGTCCTTTTATGCCTCTGGGCCCAATGACGTGTGGAGCCTGGGGATTATCCTAGTGAACCTTACCTGTGGCCGCAATCCGTGGAAACGGGCGTCCATGGACGATTCGACTTTCAGGGCTTACCGGAATAATCCGAGGTTCTTGAGCTCGATACTTCCTTTGTCACCGGAGCTTGACTTCATCTTAAGTCGCATTTTTGAGCATGACCCACGGAGAAGAATAAATGTTCCGGAGCTTAGGGATCTAATCCTCAGATGTAACCATTTCACAACTCGCTCAACCGGTGCTCTCTCCCCAACACCTCCCAGCGAACCGCAGTATGCTCCTGGACCCGAGGCCCCCTGGCACACCTCTGCCCAACCTCTACAGGGTCTCGACCAATATCCCACATCCGGGAGGATAGCAGCTCCATCATTAGCCGCATATCCTGTCACGGCACAGTGCTCGACATCTTCTGGGGGTTCGGATCATGGATCCATCTTTTCGGCGGCTTCCTCATGTTCTTCAACTTCATCCTGCGATAGCTATGAAAGTGTGTCCAAAGCCCCACAACCTATCACATACGCGGCTCCACAACCAACGGGGCCCATTTACAGTTGCTCTTTTGCATTTTCTGGGTCTTTGATGATGCAGCA